TTGTGTCACCCTAGCTGAGAGTAACAGTGACCATGATCGTCAGTGGGATCATCTGCGAAGTCCGTCGCTTTCCGTACGCTGCGCCGTAGGCCATTCTCTGGCCTCAGGCCTCCGCATAGGCCTGGGACTACAGCCCACCACCGTCGGCTGTATGTTTTTTGTATTTTTTAGTTGAGAGATGGGCGTTCATTACATGTTAGCCAGATGGTCTCGATCTTCCTGACTCATGATCCGCCTGTCATGGCCCCAAAGTGCTGGGATTAAGGCTTGAGGCCACCGCGCCCCGGCCTTTTTCTCTTTTTTTAATAGAGACAAAGTCTCACTCTGTTGCCCAGCTGGAAGGGTAGTGGGAATCATAGTTCATTGTAGGCCTCCAACCTCCGGGCGCTCAGTGATCCTCCTACCTCAGCGCCTACCCAGGCACCTGGGATACAGGTAATGGCACTCACCAGTTATTAAAAAAAATTTTTTTTTTTTTTTAGAGATGGATTTTTTGTTTTATTTTTATGATTTGTTCTGTGTGATGCCGGGCTTCTGGAACATCCTGTGTCAAGTGGTCCTCCTGGCCTCAGAATATCTTCAAAGCTGCTGGATTAACAAGACGTGAGCCAATCACATCTGCTTCAGGTTTTGTTGTGTTTTGAGACAGCGTCTCACTCGTCACACAGGTTTGGAGTGCGTGGCACCATTCTCGGGCTCAAACTTGCATCTCATTCATCCCCAGAGTGTCAAAGCGAGTATCTCCTGCCTCAGGCTGCCTGAAGATAGGCTGGGAAAGAGTTACAGGGCGCTGCCGCCACCACATCTAGTCTTTAATTTAGTGTTTGGTTATTTGTAGTAGATAGTGGAGAGATTGCACGCTATGTTTTGATATGTAGGCTAGGTCTCTGTATTCGGAAGCTGCTAAATGATTTGTACCTGCTCCATCTCTTGGCTCCACAAATGTCTGGAGTTTTTCACAGTGTGTGGAGTTCTCTACCATACTCGTTATTTTTAGCCTGGCCTGCTTGTGTGTGTTTTTTGGATGCATGAAAGTATGGTTTAGCGAGACTCCGTCTCAAAAAAAAAAAGAAAAAAAAAGGAACCCCAGCACTCAGCAAAGTGGATTCCCAAGGGAATTTATCCAGTCCGCTGCTAAATAGGGAGTGGGTGCTCAGTGAGAGCCCCATGCTGCAGCAGCACGGGCAGGCGGGGCAGTGGGGAGAAGGCCTACCTTCCGTGTTCTGGATGATGCGCTCCACCAGCACTGGGTATTTGGTTATGCGCTGTGTAACCAGGAGAATGCACTCCTGCACACCAAGCCGCCGCACGATGGAGAAGTTGCCGATTTTCTAGGAAACAGACAGCAAGATCCCACATTAACGTCTCGGAAACGGACAGCAAGGGCCCGTATTAACATCTCGGAAACGGAAAGCCGGATCCTACATTAACATGTCGGAAATGGACAGCCAGATCCCGCATTAACATCTCGGAAACGGACAGCCAGATCCCGCATTAACACCTCGGAAACGGACAGCCAGATCCCGCATTAACATCTCGGAAACGGACAGCCAGATCCCGCATTAACATCTTGGAAACGGACAGCAAGGGCCTGCATTAACATCTCGGAAATGGACAGCCAGAGCCCGCATTAACATCTCGGAAATGGACAGCCAGATCCCGAATTAACATCTCGGAAATGGACAGCCAGATCCCGCATTAACATCTCGGAAACGGAAAGCAAGAGCCCGCATTAACATCTCGGAAATGGACAGCAAGGGCCCTTATTAACATCTCGGAAATGGAAAGCCAGATCCCGCATTAACGTCTCGGAAACGGAAAGCCGGATCCCACATTAACATCTCGGAAACGGAAAGCAAGAGCCCGCATTAACATCTCGGAAATGGACAGCAAGGGCCCTTATTAACATCTCGGAAATGGAAAGCCAGATCCCGCATTAACGTCTCGGAAACGGAAAGCCGGATCCCACATTAACATCTCGGAAATGGAAAGCCAGATCCCGCATTAACATCTCAGAAATGGAAAGCCGGATCCCACATTAACATCTCGGAAATGGACAGCCAGATCCCGCATTAACATCTCGGAAACGGAAAGCCGGATCCCACATTAACATCTCGAAAACGGACAGCCAGATCCCGAATTAACATCTCGGAAAAGGACAGCAAGGGCCTGCATTAACATCTCGGAAATGGACAGCCAGATCCCGAATTAACATCTCGGAAAAGGACAGCAAGGGCCTGCATTAACATCTCGGAAACGGACAGCCAGAGCCCACAGTAACATCTCGGAAACGGACAGCAAGGGCCCTTATTAACATCTCGGAAATGGAAAGCCAGATCCCGCATTAACATCTCAGAAACGGAAAGCCAGATCCCACATTAACATCTCGGAAATGGACAGCCAGATCCCGCATTAACATCTCAGAAACGGACAGCCAGATCCCGCATTAACACCTCGGAAACGGAAAGCAAGAGCCCGCATTAACAACTCGGAAACGGACAGCCAGAGCCCGCATTAACATCTCGGAAACGGAAAGCCGGATCCCACATTAACATCTCGGAAATGGACAGCCAGATCCTGCATTAACATCTCGGAAACGGACAGCCAGATCCCGCATTAACATCTCGGAAACGGACAGCCAGATCCCGCATTAACATCTCGGAAACGGACAGCCAGATCCCGCATTAACATCTCGGAAATGGAAAGCCAGATCCCGCATTAATGTCTCGGAAACGGAAAGCCAGATCCCACATTAACATCTCGGAAATGGACAGCCAGATCCCGCATTAACATCTCGGAAATGGACAGCCAGATCCTGAATTAACATCTCGGAAATGGAAAGCCAGAACCCGCATTAACATCTCGGAAATGGAAAACCGAATCCCGCATTAACGTCTCGGAAACGGAAAGCCAGATCCCGCATTAACGTCTTGGAAACAGCCAGCCAGATCCCGCATTAACATCTCGGAAATGGAAAGCCAGATCCCGCATTAACATCTCGGAAATGGAAAGCCAGATCCCGCATTAACATCTCGGCTCCTGTCCAATTAGTCAACAATCGGCTGCCAAGGCTGGGGGCTCCTTTCTTTCTCAGCTCACCAGGACCTTTCCTTTGCCACTTTGGAGGAGACAGACACCAGATATCTGAAAGCAGGGATCACCTGCTGTACACACAAAGGCCACCAAAAGCCAGATGTGGTGGTTCGTGCCTGTAATCCCACACTTTCAGAGGCCAAGGCAGGAGGAATGCTTGAGACCAGGAGTTTGAGACTAGCCTGGGCAACACAGCAAGACCTCATCTCTACCCAAAATTAAAATATTAGGTGGGCATGGTGGCACACTCCTGTAGTCCCAACTACTCATGAAGCAGAGACAAGAGGCTTTGTTTGAGCCCAGGAGTTTGAGGCTGCAGTGAGCCATTGCACTCCAGCCTGGGCGACAGAGCAAGACCTGACTCTCAAAAATAAAAGAAATGAGAACCAGCCAGGGGGTAGATATGGAAATCATCTGTCAAGCTGTCCACAAACACGATGTACAAATGAACACACACCGCCTAACCCATGACTGCTGGAACCCTCCAGAACTAGAGTGGGCATGTGCCCTTTGGTTGGGTCCCTGGGTGTGATACTGGCTCACTGCAACCTCCGCCTCCCGAGTTTAAGCGATTCTCCTGTCTCAGCCTCCGAGTAGCTGGGATTACAGGCGTGTGCCACCACACCTGGCTAATTTTTGTAGTTTTAGTAGAGATGAGGTTTCGCCATATTCCTCAGGCTGGTCTCAAACTCCTGGGCTCAAGTGATCCGCCCACCTTGGCCTTCCCAAAAGTGCTGGGATTCCAAGCGTGAGCCACGGCACCCAGCCTGGGTGCTTTCTGACGCTCACCTCTGGCTAAGAACCCAGAGCGGTCACCCGACGCCCTCTCGGGAGCACAGCACATTTTCTGCTTGCTTGCTCCCGCTGCTCCTGTGTACGTTTTAGGGATGCCAGCACTTGCAAAGAGCCACTGAAGAGGCCCAGAGCTGCTGTGGGATTTGCAAGAGTCCATGACGGAGGCTTCACTGGAGTCCCCCTCCTGGCTTCGAGGAACTGTGGCTCCAAAACGATCCTCTCCCTTTCCCACCTATCCTATAACACAGTGAAGTTTAAATGCATGTCACTCCTAACTTTGGACCACTGGGCGTAGAATGCCACTGCAGAATCAAGTCCCGGCCAGGCCACAGGTGATGCAGCTCGTGTGGAATCAGCGGTGTGAGGGCCTCTAAAGAGGCGAATGTTGATAGAACCAACTAGCCATCAACCAAGTGCAGTTTCTAGGATGCGGGAGGTGGGGTCTCCCTTGACTTGGCTGACTCTGGCTGGGCTTCGAGCACCCACCCACATTCACACAAAGGAGGCAGGAAGATCCATCTACAGGCTCCGGGGGTGAACACGGACCAGCAAGGGGACAAAGGCTTGGAGTAACCCTCCTTTTTTTATTTTGTATTTTTTTGAGACAGAGTTTCGCTCTTGCTCCCCAGGCTGGAGTGCAATGGTGCGATCTCGGCTCACTGCAACCTCTGCCTCCCGGGTTCAAGCGATTCTCCTGCTTCAGCCCCCCAAGGAGATGGGATTACGGGCGCGCGTTACCACGCCTGGCTAATTTTTTGTAGTTTTAGTAAAGACAGGGTTTTGTCATATTGGGTAGACTGGTATCAAACTCCTGACTTCAGGTGATCTGCCCGCCTTGGCCTCCCAAAGTTACAGGGATTACAGGTGTGAGCCACCGCACCCAGCTGGAATAACCCTCCTTAAGACAGACAGCATCCCCAAGGCAAAATAGGCCGGCTCTGGAGGGCCAGTTCCTGGGGCAGGGCAGCCCCTTCAAACGATCCTTTGTGTCATCCAAACAGTGATGACATAGTGATGGTCAGCAGGTCCCATGCTGAGGGCTGCAGGGATCTCTCAGGGCCCACTGTGGCCTGGCAAGGAACAAAGTCTAGACATGCTTTCTTTGATTGATTTTGTTAATATGTGTATGTGTATATTTATGTATTTTATATAATAGAGATGGGATCTTGCTATGTTGCCCAGGCTGGTCTTAAACTCCTAAGCTCAACTGATTTTCCCTCCTTAGCTGCTGGAGTAGCGAGGGTTACAGGTGTGCACCAACATGCCTGGCTAATTTTTAAATTTTTTGTAGAGACAGGATCTTGCTATGTTGCCCAGGCTGGTCTCAAACTCCTGGCCTCAAGTGATCCTCCCGCCTTGGCCTCCAGAAGTGCTGGATTTACAGGCATGAGGCATTGCATCTGGCCTGCTTTATTTTACATCTCAGGATTCTACGTAAGATTTCACTGATATGTTCTGAATGGAGTTGTGGTTAAAACCCAAACCAAACCTTGAAAATCACTGCTACATAACAAATGCCTTATAATTCCCAAGTCCCAAGACTCTACAATTCTGTGGAAAAACTCGACAGTGAAGAATATAAGTTTTTTGTTTTTTGTTTTGGAGATGGAGTCTTGCTCTGTCACCAGGCTGGAACGCAGTAGCGTGATCTCGGCTCACTGCGACCTTCGATTCCTAGGTTTAAGCGATTCCTCTGCCTCAGCCTCCCAAGTAGCTGGGATTACAGATGCGTGCCATCACGCCCGGCTAATTTTTTGCATTTTAATAGAGATGGGGTTTCACCATGTTGGCCAGGACAGTCTCGATCTCCTGACCTCGTGATCCGCCCGCCTTGGTCTCCCAAAGTGCTGGGATTACAGGCGTAAGCCTCTGAGCCTGGCCAGAATATAAGTTTTTGATTAAAAAAAAAAAAAATTGTTTTTACCTTGATCAAGTTTTGAAATTTCTTGTTTTGCTGAAGCAGCAACTTGTAATGACTAACAGCTTCATTGTGGCCACTACAAAACACACCATACTTTTCTTTCATTCTCTCCCCATTTTCACCTGAAAACTGATAGACAAAAGAACGGAAATGTCAATTAAACACGAAAACTGCCACAGTATATTTTCATCTAATTCATCTGACTCTGCTAAAATAAATATCAATTTATTTGCAATTCCACTTTTCTTTCTTCCTTTTTTTTTTTAGAGACAGCATCTTGCTCTGTGGCTCAGGCTGGAGTGCAGTGGCACGATCTCAGCTCACTGCAACCTCCACCTCCTGGGTTCAAGCGATGCTCCTGCTGTAGCCTCCTGAGTAGCTGGGATTACAGGTGCTGCCACCACACCTGGCTAATTTGTTTTGAGACGGAGTCTCACTCTGTTGCCCAGGCTGGGGTGCAGTGGCGTGATCTTGGCTCACTGCAACCTCCACCTTCTGGGGTCAAGTGATTCTCCTGCCTCAGCCTCCTGAGTAGCTGAGATTACAGGTGTGCACCACCATGCCCGGCTAATTTTTGTATTTTTAGTAGAGACCAGGTTTCACCATGTTGGTCAGGCTGGTCTCGAACTCCTGACCTCTTGATCTGCCCGCCTCGGCTTCCCAAAGCGCTGGGATTATAGGTGTGAGCCACCGTGCCCGGCCAGCCAAAGCATATTTTCATCTAATTCATCTGACTCTGCTAAAATAAATATTAGATTTATTTACAATTCCATTTTCTTTCTTCCTTTTTTTTTTTAGAGACAGCATCTTGCTCTGTGGCTCAGGCTGGAGTGCAGTGGTGCGATCTCAGCTCACTGCAACCTCCGCCTCACGGGTTTGAGCGATTCTCCTGCCACAGCCTCCTGAGTAGTTGGGGATTACAGGTGCCACCACCACATCCGGCTAATTTTTAATTTTTTTTTTTTTAGTAGAGATAGTGTTTCACCATGTTGGTCAGGCTGGCCTTGAACTCATAACCTCAAGCGATCCACCCCCCTCAGCCTCCCAAAGTGTTGGGGTTACAGGTGTGAGCCACAGCGCCCGGCTGCAGCTCCACTTTCTAATACGTCCTCAAACACAGAAATGCTTCAGTTTGGGGCGTCTAATCACAAGGTGTCAAAAAGGTAAAATAAAAAAACCTGCTTCGGGGCTTTGCTACATCACAGATGCTATAAAACTTCCTGAGAGCCAAGAAAAAAAGTAAATGTCAGCCAAAGGACGTTAGAAACATAAAAAACAGGCCGGGCACAGTGGCTCACACATGTAATCCCAGCAGTTTGGGAGACTTAGGCAGGTGGATCACTTGAGGTCAAGAGTTCGAGACCAGCCTGGCCAACATGGTGAAACCCTGTCTCTACTAAAAATACAAAAAAATTAGCCAGGTGTGGTGGTGGGCACCTGTAATCCCGGCTACTCGGGAGGCTGAGGCATGAGAATTGCTTAAACCTGGGAGGTGGAGGTTACAGTGAGCCGACATCACACCATTGCACTCCAGCCTGGACAATAGGCTGAGACTTCATCTCAAAAAAAAGAAACATAAAAATCAAAAGGAGTGTTCTTCTAATTAGTTGGCCCAGGATGCTTTGAGCAAATAGTTCGAGGTCACATGAGAGGCACAGCTCCCCTGGGTAAATCTTGGCCTAGGGTGGTCATTTGGGGTTAATACCACTACCATGGATGGTGCTGGTCCACAGGTATGCTTCCCTGCTTCCCCCCTCCCCCCCGATATCGGGTCTTGCTCTGTTGCCCAGGCTGGAGGGCAATGGCATGATCATAGCTCACTGCAGCCTTGACCTCCCATGCTCAAGCAATCCTCCCACCTCAGCCTCCTGAGTAGCTGGGACTACAGCTATACGCTACCACAGCTGGCTAATTTATTTTCACGTTTTGTAGACACAGGGTCTTGCTATGTTGCCCAGGCTGGTCCAGAACTCCTAGGCTCGAGCAATTCACCTGCTTGGCCTCCCACAGTGCTGGGATTACAGGTGTGGGCCACTGCACTCAGTCAATAGGCATATTTTGAACGGTTGAAAGCATAAGTGATTTGAACCAAAAAACAAAAACCAACCAACCAAACGAGCATAGAAGAATGTAACACTGAATAGTGTTCAGCCACGGACACTGGCTGATTTAGGCCTCTGTGTTTCTAGAATATGAACTGCAGGCATCGCTATAAGGGGCCCAGAGCTGTGTGTCCTCAGGGGAGCAGGTACTCAACAAACAGGAGCCACTCTCGTTTTATTATTCAAAGGAACAGACCAGCACAATGGCTTATGCCTGTGATCCCTGCACTTTGGGAGGCTGAGGAGGGAGGATTGCTTGAGGCCAGGAATTCGAGACCAGCCTGGGAAACAAAGCGAGACCCCATCTCTACAAAAAATAAAAAATTAGCCAGGCGTGGTGTTCCCTGGAGTCCTGGCTACTTGGAAGGCTGAGGCAGGAGGATCACTTGAGCTCAGGAGTTCAAGACTAGCCTGGGCCATATAGTGACACCCTATCTCTACAAAAAATAAAAAATTAGCTGAGCATGGTGGTGCACAGCTGCAGTCCCTGCCACTCGGGAGGCTGAGTTGGGAGGATCACCTGAATCTGGGAGGTTGAGGCTGCATTGAGCTGTAACTGCACCACTACATTCCAGCCTGGGTGGCACACCAAGATGCTATCTCAGAAAAAAAGAAGAAAGGGACAGAGACAGGGCAGAGGCTTTGAAAACTGTTGAGATGAACATGGCTGCACCCACCTGCTGAACCAGGAGGTCGCCGATTTTCTGGATGACATAATTCCGGTCGCTGCCCTCCTCCAGGGACTCCTGGCGGCGCTCCTTGAGCCGAGCGAGGAAATGGCTGTGCGTCTCCAGCAGGTCGTCAGCACATGGGAAGAGGCGGCCAATAGCCTTGCTGCTGAACTGCAGCTCCTCCTGCAGGGCCCTGGAGTACACCTTCAGCATGATCTTGAGAGTCCGCACGTGGTGCACCTCCGTCTGCATCAGCTCTGCAGGGACACGGACGGCAGGACTTAGCCACGCTGGCTCCACGGCCCTGCTGGGCAGTCGTGGGTGCTGCCTGCCCTTCACGTACTGAACTGGCTTCTGAGAGTTCTCTGCCTAAGGCCTTGTGCCTTTGGGGTCTTTCTTACTTCCAGGGCATTCAGGGTTTAGAGTGCTGCAGGGGGTCCCAGCCTAAAGGAGCAGGGGAAGGAGACAGCCCTGGGACCTCCCTATCACAGGAGGGTTTTGTGTCCAGTGTCAACCCAACGGACAACATTTTAAGTCCGTGTGGTTTTTGTTTTTTTGTTTTTTGTGTTTTTTTGAGATGGAGTCTTGCTCTGTCACCCAGGCTGGAGTGCAGTGGCGCAGTCTCAGCTCACTGCAACCTCCACCTCCTGGGTTCAAGCGATTCTCCTGCCTCAGCCTCCCAAGTAGCTGGGATTACAGGTGCGCACCACCAGGCCCAGCTATCAAGTCTGTTTTTAGGAAGAAGAGTGTTCTGAGGAATACTCCTGTGGCTGTCAAAACTCACACGTCACATCTGTGTGTGTCCCTGACCAGACCTAGACTGCAATGAACAAGATGTTTGCGTCCCCCAAAATTCGTATGTTGAAATTCGAACCCCCAAGGTGATAGTATCAGGAGGTGTGGCCCTTGGAAGGTGATGAGGTCAGAAGGGGAGAGAACCTCATGGTGGGACTAGTGCCCTTAGGAAAAGGACCTGAGAACTGGGAGTGGTGGCTCACACCTGTAATCCCAGCACTCTGGGAGGCCGAGGTGAGCAGATCACTTGAGGTCAGGAGTTGGAGACCAGCCTGGCCAACACAGCGAAACCCTGTCTCTACCAAAAAATAAAAAAATTAGCCGGGCATGGCCAGGCATGGTGGCTGATGCCTGTAATCCTAGCATTTTGGGAGGCTGAGGTGGGCAGATCATGAGGTCAGGAGTTCGAGACCAGCCTGGCCAACATGGTGAAACACTGTCACTACTAAAAATACAAAAATTAGCCGGGCATGGTGGTGGGCACCTATAATTCCAGCTACTCGGGAGGCTGAGGCAGGAGAATTGCTTGAACCCGGGAGTTGGAGGTTGCAGTGAGCCGAGATGGAACCACTGTACTCCGGCCTGGGCGACAGAGTGAGACTCCATCTCAAAAAAAGAGAAATTAGCTGGGCATGGTAGCAGGCACTGTCATCCCAGCTACTCAGGAGGCTGAGGCAGGACAATCGCTTAAACCTGGGAGGTGGAGGTTGCAGTGAGCTGAGATTGCATCACTGCATCCAGCCTAGGTGACAGAGTGAGACCCTGTCTCAAAAAAAAAAAAAAAAAAAGGACCTGAGAAAGACCATGAAGACCTTGTGAGGACATAGCCAGATGCCACCATCAGGAAGCCAGGAAATGGGGCCTCCATGGACACTAAGTCTGCCGCTGCCTTGATCTTAGACGCCCCAGCCTCTAGAACTGTGAGCAATAAACTTCTGTGGCTTCTAAGCCACCCTGTGTATGGTGTTCTATGAGAGCTGCCTATACGGGCTAAGACAGCACAAAACAAGGGAAGAAGAAGATGGATCTGGGCATTCAGCCAGATGCGTCCACAGGGACGTATTCTAACAAAATCCTCTCCGACCGTCTCTTCCCTGGCGTGGGAGGAAGGGCTGCACCAAGGGAGGAGAGAGAAAGACGGAAGCCAAGCACCGTGGCTCACGCCTATAATCCCAATACTTTGGGAGGCCCAGACGGGCGGGTCATTTGAGCTCAGGAGATTGAGACCAGCCTGTGCAACATGGTGAGACCCCCGTCTCTACAGAAAATAAAAAAATTTGCCAGATGCGGTGTGGTCCCAGCTACTGGGGAGGCTGAGGTAGGAGGATTGCTCGAGCCCAGGTCGAGGCTGCGGTGAGCTCTGATTGTCCCACTGTACTCCAGCCTGGGCCATAGAGAGAGACTCTGTCTCAAGAAAGAAAAATAAATAAATAAAGAGAGAAAGAACAAAAGAGGGAAAGAGAGAAAGAGAGAGAGAAAGACAAAGAAAAGGAAGGAAGGAAGGGAGGGAGGAGGGAAGGAGCAGAGAAGAGAGTGGAGGGCCGGCGTGGTGGCACAGGGCTGTGGACTCCTCACCGTAAAGGACATCTTGTCTCTTCACCACCTCCCTCTTTTGCTTCTTGGCGTAGGCCGGGTCCACGGCGAGACTCCAGGACTCGGCTTCGAACTCGTGGCCGTCTGACTCAATCTCACTCCTCAGAGAGGCGGCGTAGGGATCTGAGGGAAGAGCGAGGGGCGGCTGCTGGGGGCCCAGAGCCATGTCACCCGGATTCCCTCCCGTGGACGTGCTGACACAGGCCCCAGCTCTTCCCAGGAGGGACAGGGACTGTGTGGCAGCCGCGAGAGAGCGGAGATGACCATACCTTCTACAAAAATGGACTCGGCGTTCGAAGTTGTGAGGGACAGAGAGTCCTCAGCTGTCTGCTTAAGTTTTAAAAGCACAGAATCGGCTTCATCCATCTCTCCTGTGAGTGGTCTGGGTGCAAACAATAAAAACAATTGTTTTAGAAAAGTGAATTAAACACACACGCACATCCGATTCGATACTCTCCGAGAACTCTCCAGATTTTCACAGAAGCCTCAAGTTTGTCTACAGATTATTTTTTTTAAATTGGGAGATTTGCCGGGTGCGGTGCCTCATGCCTGTAATCCCAGACTTTGGGAGGCCGAAGTCAGGCAGATCACCTGAGGTCAGGAGTTCGAGACCAGCTGGCCCAACATGGCAAAACCCCGTCTCTACTAAAAATACAAAAATTAACCGGTGTGGTGGCAGGTGCCTGTAATCCCAGCTACTTGGGAGGCTGAGGCAGGCGAATCACTTGAATCCGGGAGGTGGAGGTTGCAGTGAGCTGAGATTGTGCCAGTGAACTCCAGCCTAAGCGACAGAATGAGACTCTGTCTATAGAAAAAAAAAAAGCAGGGGCGGGGGAGATTGTCTGTCAATGTCACATCAGGATTTCTTCCATAGTAACTTCCTTCAATGTTTAGTTACATCCTAATGGGGTGTGGATTGCAGCGTCCTTGACAGACCACTGGAGCCCACTTGGGGCCCCTAGGATCCTGTCTACCAGGAGTTAAGTGGAAATGGCTTCATGGTCAAAGGTGGGAGGGCAGTCCTTACTCAGAGGAAAAAGATAATCTATTCCCTTTCCCACGAACTCATGGAATAGCCACCACAAACATATCAGCTTCTAGCATCACTTTGTACTCGGACACCGCTGCAGGCATTATCAAGGGAACCACTTTGAAGTCCTATAAAACGAGGTAAGGCACAGATAATGGGACGCCACCTCCACACACACCCAGCAGGACTTTGAGCATCACCTTGAGTAAGGAGCCTGGCCTAAGGAGCGAGTCCAAGGATCCCCTGAGGCCACTAGGCAAACTGGCTCCACCAGGGGTTGAATACACCCCGGGTCACATCGAATATACCCCGGGACACATCGTTTTTGCAAAAAGGCGCGGATCCAGGAAGCAAGCGTTAATGGGAATTTCTCTGCTTGGCACAGGGGCTGCCGTGTGGATTCACACAGATCTAAGTCCGGGTCTCCCTCTGGGGAGGCTGTCAACAGCTCCCCGGGGAACGCCACCCACCCGAGGGCAGAGAGGGGACTCCGGCTTACCCGAGTTGCGTCCCAGGGCCAGCCGGGCTCGGTGTTGGCTGGGGACCCCCTTTCTGAGAGACCGTCATACCGACATTCCTGGACAGGGCCGGGCTGCCATCGGACAGGAGGGTGCCCCGGGGGTTCTCCTTGAGCGAGGCTGTGACAGAGGCAAGGACAGAGTTGGTGCTGAGAAAGTGGGTCGGGTAGCGGAGGTCGCCCGCGCGGAAGCCCCGCTCCGACTGCGGCCGCAGCACGGACAGGATCTTGGAGGTCAGCAGCTCGTTATCCAAGAAGACGTTCTCGCTCCATTTCCTGGGGAAAGAGCCGTAAAAAGACAGCTCGGGGCGGCCGGGGAGCGTGCCGTGCCTGTCCCCGCTTTTGGAGTGAGCATTCCCCATGTTTGCGCCCAGGGCTCCGGGACCCGGCGCGGTGCCAGGCTGGGCTGCGCCGTTTTTATGCCTCGGTGGGATCCTTCTAGAAAACAGAGCTGCGTCTTCCCTTGCTGTATTGGCTGAAGCAGCGGGTCTGGAGGGCAGGATATTGGTCCCCACTGTGACCATTTACTGTGGAAATTGCACAGTATTTGCTGCTTTGATAGAATAAAACAGGGGAAAAAAAAAAAAAAAACCCTCTAGGCTCTCCCTTGGTCTTTGCAGGGTGTAAAAACCAAGTGAGCTGTTTCAGTTTGCTGTAAATAGTCTAAGATCATGAAACTGTGCGCCTGGCGCGCTTCATGCCAAAACCTCGCACGCGATGATAATTAATCTGAGATCAGATGTTAGGGTGACTCTAAGACCCAGAGATGGCAAGACACGGTGTTTAGCCGCCCCTGGTCATCAGGACTCGAATAGAATTCTACCATCGAAGCGGACCTGAGGCTCCGATTCTGTTCCACACCGTGATTATAAACCAATCCAACATCAACACGGGCTGCAAACAGTTGTCTGCACCCATCTGTTCATTAATTTAAGGGTTCAGATCATAGGATACATGTGCCCGCGGATAAGCTCACCTACTCATGGAAAGATGCAACTCTTTTAATTAATTATTATTATTTTTAGAGACAGTCTCACTCTAGCTCAGGCTGGAGTGCAGTGGCCGACCACAGCTTACTGCAGCCTTAAACTCCTAGGCTCAAGCAATCCTTCTGCCTCAGTCTCCTGAGGAGCTGGGATTATAGGTGTGCTGTATAATTTTAAAATATTTTCTTGTAGAGAGATGGGGGTCTCACTATGTTGCCCAGGCTGGTCTTGAACTCCTGGCTTCAAGTGGTCCTCCTGCTTTGGGCCTCCCAAGATGCAACTCTTAATAAAGCTCAACTATGGCCGGGTGCGGTGGCTCACGCCTGTAATCTCAGCACTTTGGGAGGTCAAGGTGGGTGGATCACAAGGTCAGGAGTTTAAGACCAGCCTGACCAAGATGGTGAAACCCTGTCTCTACTAAAAAAACAAAAAAACAACAAAAAAACCCCACAAAAATTAGAAGGGTGTGGTGGCAGATGCCTGTAATCCCAGCTACTCGGGAGGTTGAGGCAGAGAATTGCTTGAACCCGGGAGGCAGAGGTTGCAGTGAGTGGAGATCGTGCCACTGCACTCCAGCCTGGGTGACAGAGTGAGACTCTGCCTCAAAAATAAAATAAAATAAAATAAAATAAAATAAAATAAAATAAAATAAAATAAAATAAATAAAGCTCAACTATCATTCATTAGGTTCAGTTTTCCCCTCCTACTTGACAAGTGTAGTTGAGATGGGCTACTTGGCTAGTTTATTCTTACATTTTATAAAATTGTATCTTCAAGCTCTGCCCAGATAAGGACAAAGAGTAGCATTAAAAAGAAATCTGGGCTGGGCGTGGTGGCTCATGCCTGTAATCCTAGCACTTTGGAAGGTAGAGGTGGAAGGATTGTTTGAGGCCAGGAGTTCAAAACCAGCCTGGGAAACATAGCAAGACCCTGTTTCTACACAAAATAAAAAATTAGCTGGGCACAGTGGTGCACACCTGTAGTCCGAGCTACTCGGGAGGCTGAGGCAGTAGGATCGCTTGAGCCCAGGAGTTCAAGGCTGCAGTGAGCTATGATCGCGCCACTGCACTCTAGGCTGGGCGACAGAGCGAGACCATCTCAAAAAAAAGAGAAGGGGGAAGGGAGGGGAGGAGAAAGGAGGGGAGGGGGGAGGGAAGGGAGGAAGGAAGGAAGGGAGGGAAAAAGAAAGAGAGAGAGAGAGACAAAGAAAGAAAAAAGAGGGCTGGGCGCGGTGGCTCATGCCTGTAATCCCAGCACTTTGGAAGGCCGAGGCAGGTGGATCACCTGAGGTCAGGAGTTTGAGACCAGCCTGGCCAACATGATGAAACCCCATCTCTACTAAAAATACAAAATTAGCTGGGCATGGTGGGGAACAACTGTAATTCCAGCTACCCGGGAAGCTGAGGCAGGAGAATCACTTAAACCCGGGAGGCAGAGGTTGCAGTGAGCCCGACATCACGCCACTGCACTCCAGCCTGGACAACACCAGTGAGGCTCCATCTGAAAAAAAAAAAAGAAAAAAGAAAAAAGAAAAAAAACAAAAAGAAATCTAATCTGTCCAGTGGCCTCCTGGCTCCTAGGTACTGACATACCACTGGTTTGTCTATGTTACAGGAAGAAAGCAGCTGGAAGTCTCTTTCTTGGGAACATGGAGTTATAAACCATGGGGTGGGCAGAGCTTGCCCTAGTGGAAAATGTACTCACAGCAGCTCTCCTGGGAGAGGATTCAGCATTCTGAGCAACTTCTTTGTTTTTTTTTTTTTTTTTTTTTTTTTTTTTTTTTTTTTTGAGACAGATTTCCTGCTCTTGTCTGCCTAGGCTGGAGTGTCAATGGTGGCCATCTGTCGGCCTCACCGCTATCCTCCTGGGGCCATCCCAGGTTCAGTGATTCTCCTGCTAGCTCCCGAGTGGTCCTGGGATTACAGGCTCGCACACCACCACACCTAGGCTAATTCTTGTATTTTTAGTAGAGGAACGGAGTTTCCACGTCTGGTCAACGCTGGTCTCGAACTCCCCGACTTCAGGTATTCCGTGGCCTGGCCTTCAAAGTGCTGGGACTTTAGAGCTTAAGCACCGCAAGCCCGGCCTCTGACAAACTTTAATTTAGGTTAATTGAAGTTTGTGGGTGATTGTTAACTGTCGCAACGTGGGTGTGTGTTAGAGACTTTTCTGCAGAGGAGCCGGCAAACGAATTCTCGCCGACTAAGACATCAGCGCACTAAGGCTGTCTGTGAACAAGCAGCATGAACGTACTCAGTCGGGCTGTTCATTCCTTTCCACGGCAGCACAGCGAGGCGATGACAACTTTGTTCAGTGCGCCAGAAACATTCTGACGTCCATGATAACATACATGAAAAAAAAAAAAAAACTTTTAACATTCCTAACTTATACCAGAGACAAAGCAGTTGACGATGTAATTCACAAAGCAACACCTATGTAAAAAAACAGGAATCCTGAACCAAAGGCGACACGGTCCAGGACAGGCATTTCCTGCCATTTCTGTCCAACAACTCCACCCAGACGATTATGACCTAAACGTACAAATACGGTGCAAAACCCGAGATGTATCCTTTGCCCAGCAGCATCCTGGCACGGCTGACACATGGTTGCTTGTGGACTGAGGTCCTGACTGAAATCAGATGAATTCTGCTCTAGCACAATAGTCCATAGAAGAAAAAGTCACTAAAAACAGCATTTGGCCAGGCACGGTGGCTCACACCTGTAATCCCAACACTTTGGGAGGCCAAGGGGGGTGGATCATTTAAGGTCAGGAGTTCAAGACCAGCCTGGCCAACATGGTGAAATCCTGTCTCTACTAAAAATACAAAAATTAGCTTGGCGGTGGTGGTGCACACCTGTAATCCCAGCTACTCAGGAGGCTGAGGCAGGAGAATTGCTTGAGCCTGGGAGGCAGAGGTTGTGGTAAGCCGAGATCATGCCACTGCATTCCAGCCTGGGTGACAGAGTAAGATCCTGTCTCAAAAAAAAAAAAAAAAAAAACCCAAAACAAAACAAAAAAACAGCATGTAAAGCAATGCCAATTCCCAAAATCAAGTTGATGGCAAAAAGAAAGAAAAGGAAGGAAGGAAGGAAGGAAGGAAGGAAGGAAGGAAGGAAAGAAATGCTGATTCCAAAGAATTTTAATAAACTATTGGTAATGCTAAATCTATGGGAACAGATGTAAATCTTCCTTTCATGATTTAGAAGACACTGAAGTTTTCACATGTTGGGGTCATGACCAGGGGACACCAGGTTAGAGACCAGCCTGGGCAACACAGTGAGATCTCGTCTCTTAAAAAACAACAACAACAAATTAGGCAGGCATGTTGGTGTGTGCCAGGAGTCCCAGCTACCTGGGAGGCTGAGGTGGGAAGATCGCTTGAGCCCTGGGGTTCAAGGCTGTGGTGAGCCATGATTGCCCCACTGCACTCCAGCCTGCGTGACAGAGCAAGACTCTGAAAAAAATGAAACAAAATGAAATAGAAATAAGAGGTGGACAGTCATAAATACAGTCTTCCTGGAACACGTGTGGCCACTGAAATAGCTGACGGGTCAAGACATGAGTCAGTGGCCCTGCCACAGACCCGCTGCATTGATTATGTCCTTTATTCCGTATTTGTGATGCTTTGACCTCTTGGGGCTTTGCTGAGCATGGACGCATAGCCCCTCCCAGGGCTGGCCAGTTTCTAGAAATAGTAAACGGTCTGCAGCCAATGCAGAGCTCAGACCCCCAGTTGCCTCCTTTATGGGGCTGTCACACTCCTGGCCGTGGTCCCGCTGCCCTCATCACCTCGGGGTCCCGTCCTGAGCCTGCTCACCCTGCCTGGTCCATTTGTTCCCCAGGAAACCACAATGAAGATTCCTGTCCATATTTTCCCCTGTCCCCCAACCGACCCTGGTGCTTCCCCGTGTGGCCCCTGTGTGGTGTGCCCTGCCTCCTGCTTCCAGAGGACTGTGAATATAAACTTCTTCCTTCCTGATGGTCATTTCTGGGTCTATGAGTCTCACCATACTGGGTTCAGACAAATCCCAGGTATCCTAAAACGACAGCTGCCCAGGGACCAGAGGTCTGCTTGCCAGGGATGGGAGAGCCTCAGATCGTCTGCCACCATTTTTTTTTTTTTTTTGAAATGGA